AAGGCACAGGAAAGAGCGGTATTAAACCACAAAGCTGCAAGTTACACTCAAAACTGAAAATCTGGTTTTGCTTCCAACTGCTTTCTCTTCTTTTTAATGAAATAAATGCTTTCATTAGCTCTACAGATGAATCAGTTTGCATAACTTATCAAATCTGCCCTCCAAAAATATGGAATTAAACTCCAAAATGCCACAGATTTTATAGGGTTAAGGCATCCATCTTGCCTCTTAAAATACCCACAAAATATTAATAAAATGGTCAAGCTCAGCCTGTGGGCTAGATGATTACAGGGACAGAAATGGGATGATGGAAGTAGCATGTAGCATGTAGGGTACACTTTGGTATCTATTTCAGTAGTAAAATGGTCTTAGGAAGGATAGAAACCCTGAAGTCTAATAATACTTAGAGCATGGTAAGACATGGAGTTTATGTGATGTGAATGAAACGTGTATCTCTTTGTTTCATATGGTCATATTTTTTGATTTTCTTTGGATAAACTTGCCCATTATTAATTTTATAGTGGTGCCCTCAAATGTCACTTTCTAGTTATGAGTTGCATCCACTATATTTAAATTAAGTATATGTAGACATAATTTATTAATTCCAGCTATTTCTATCAAACATGTGACCTTAATTTGAATACTGAAATTCAAATACATTTTCTGAGCATTGGTTGAATTAATTTACTATTCTGACTTTTACAAATCAAATGGCACTCTTACTACATTTTGATGACCTCATTAATTCACTCCATGAACCACAGAATCTCTAATTCAGTAAGAGTTAGATCTGCTAGATCTGCTTTTCTATGAAGGTTTACTGTTGTTTATGATGAGCTAAAATATGTTTTGCACATTAAAATATGGGCCAAATAGCATTTCTGTCTTCAAGGCATGTTACTTGCCCTGATAAGGGGATATGTATATATTCAGATGAGATTTACTTAAAAATTTAAGAACCCACTTTTCCACATAATCAGAAATGTGAAAAAAAAAATAACTGTACAGAAAGAGCCTTGCACTGCTGTATATCATTTTTATATAACTTAACTACCTGCAAATAGGAAATTATGGGAGTATGTAGATAATCACAAAATGCCAGCAAATGTGTTTCTCTTTAAAAAGCAATGAGTTTTGAATCCTTCTATTCTTCTATAAATAAAAAGCTTTCAGTGCAAACATTTAAAACAATATAAAAATGAAGATTATTTCAGGTTTCTTATTGAGCATTTTAATTTAAAATGAAATAAATTGTTCAATTACGTTTAGTGCAAATATACCTGAAACATTAAACATAAATAAATATATTAATATTATTGTAGAAATCATTGGGGTCACAAAATTATAGGCTTTTTGGACTGCAGTGACCTTTGGCTATAAGAAAGAATGTTTTTAAAGTGAAGGAAAAATATTAGAAAACCATCTGGATAATGTCTGTACTTCCAATTATGCTCTAATGATTTGCATGAGCTATAAATATAGAGCTAGTATTTAGTCATAGTGGAAAATATTGGGTCCATACTGGTCTGTGATGTGACCATAATAAGGAAACAAGTAAGTAAATAGTTATATAAAATGAAAATTCAGATATATGAATACTTATCCTATAGCCACACAGTTTGAACTATTGTTGCATTTGTTTTGAAATATGGTATTTATGGAAGCAAGAATAAAAAGTACAAAAAATGTATAGAAAGAATAAAAATAATTAGTGACTGACAGAACATTAACTGAGTAAAAATTAATTATTAGCAAGAATCCAATTTAATTGGCTTCAATATGGATGGAGGGGGGAGGAATGAAGGAATTTAGGATTTTTTTGCACGTGACTATAGCTTTTCATTCTCTAAAGAACCTTTCAAACCTTTGGATTTTATTTCACAAAACTAGAATAGCATAAATGCTACCTATCAGAACTAAATAAAAAGCTGTAGTATTAGAAAAGAGACCTCAATAGAAACCAGAACAAGAAATTTAAGAAGCAGTAATATAGTTAATGTAAAAAAATCACCTTTTTAAAGCCACTGTACAATGAAAACTGCAGTATTTTTTTCCATATAGATCACCAAAACTGTAATTTTGTCAGAGTAACTGGTTTCCTTATATCTTAAAATTACAGATTCAAATCTTGATTTAGATAATTTGTCACTTGATCTAATTTTTACAAATCTTAGTTTTAATTTAGTTTAATTTATCCTCAAATACAAATGTTTACAGGAGGATTGATGCAAGGATCCATTTTTTTTAATATTCTCCTAAATAAACACGTTGCAGGTATAGCATCTGAAGGCCTGTAGGAGTGACAAAGATTTTCTGCATGGAATACATTATTTTGAGGGCTATATATTATTTTGGGTCAATGAATGAAGATAATCTATACTTTTTTTCACCAAACAAAATCTATTTTTGCTTTGAGGCAATATTCATTTTTAATGAATAGCACGCAAGTTCTACATCAAACCTATTTAAAAACAGGTGTGTTTTTTTTTAAAAAATAAGTGTTTAATTTGAAATTTTTAATTTTTTAAATTTTGATTCTCTACTAACATCTTCTACATTTTTTTCTTGTCTGTGCATTGCTTATCTTAGGTCACAGAAATGTCTAATTTTTGAAAACTGACTCAAACTATTGTTTCTATTATTGGCAATCAATTTGTTCCTAAAATTCATCTGGAAAATGAGCCATATAAAGCCATGTTATTGCTTAAACAAACTTAAATTCTTGACTGATTTTCAGTAGTTATAAAAATGACATTCTTTTACATGATAGCATCGTGTTGTATATCCAGGTTCTGTCTTTTCTTACATTTTTGTATATTATTTCTGATGAAATTATTATGAAATATTTAAGATCCCAATCCTATATATTCTTTGTTGAAAATGAATCCCAGAATTTAGTGGGCCTTATCTCAGAATTGACATGAAAAAAGTTGTGCAATATAACAGAAGTTGTGACCTACATTGACAGAATATAAATGTCTAATAAATGATGTTGTGCAAGGAGGAGTGTCTCACAAAACATGATTAAATCTAGCATCCTGTCGCTGAACACTTTATATAAAGTTACAGAACACTTTATATAAAGTTTTCCATTGATTTCTACACAGAAATGCAATCTCATAAGATTTAGCTGAAACAAAGATATGTTTAAAATTTACCTAAATGTTTTCTTCTTGACTCTCCATTTGCATATTATTTTCAGATAATTTTCATTTGAAATAGGAAGTATGTACTATGATTCACAGGAAAGAAACTTCTTAATAAAATAGTTAAACATTAATCCAATGTAACTAGATACATAAAAAGTACTGTTTCAGGTAATTCTCAAAAGTCCGCTAAGAACGGAAGAAGTGATCAATAAAAACCTGCAACTCTGAATGTCTTGCCCTATTTTGTGAAGTCGAAATTGCAAAGCATGGCCCTTATCTTAATGTTTTTGCAGATTGAAAGAAGGAAGATTATCTGTACTTTTATAAGTAAAAAGAAGGTTTAGCATTTAAGTAGATTTGATCTATATTTCAGGCAGGATAAAAGATCTTACAAACCAATCTCTGCAAGCGATTCTTAAATAATTGCCCTTTTTCTAGGTACTTCCAGAAACTATAGTCAAAATGATATTTTATCATTCCAATGATATAAATAGTGTTAAAATACTTCCTTCTAAAACTAATTCGTTTACATTTTAGATGGAACTCAAAAGTCTTAGAAAATAATCTGACTTCCGAACAGCTATTCATGTGACACTACAACAATATGGACAGAATTAGATGGAAGATATCACATATATTATCAATCAATTTCAAGGTGCTATTCTCAAAGTAATAAAAGCATAAGGGAAACAACAGAAAATATGGTGAAACATATTTTTCTCATCAGAAAGAAATATCAGGACCATCTCATCTTTGCCCACTTGCTATATGAAAGTAGGACATCTAACCTTAACAGTCTGTATTAACAATAAGGTATAAATGTGTGTGTATACACACATTCAGTTATATAACTGAGCAGATATTAGTGGCAGTGTACGCAAAAAAAGAGAAGAAAATTATGTTTAAAAAGTTACAATTTTCCTTCCTTCTGTTTTTGTACAGAAATACTGAAGTAAATATATATATATATTTTAAAAAATCAGCATTCTACCTGGTAAACACTTCTGTCCCTCTAAAAAAACTGAATTAAAAAAAATCTTGAGAACTCTTTATTTTCCCCTCCACTCGTCTATTACTTTACCTGTCTCATCATGGATAGGCTTGACACAGCCTTTTTTTAATTTTATCCCTAATTTTTTTAGGAAGTAATCCTTTCCTTATACCTAGACTAGTAGGTGAAAAAAACCTTTCAATTTTTTCTCTTTTTGTACTTCTCTTTGACATTTGCAAAGTCCCACTATTTGGCTGGGGCTCTGTGTCATCCCTCCTTAGTCTTGCACTTCCAGAGTTGTTGTATTTGCAGCTCCTATTTGGGAGTCACAATGCTAGAAGACCTGGAGGATGCCAGATTGGCCAAGTTTGCCCTATGCTCAGCAAAGACAACATGTAATTGCAGAAAAGCTACCTTTGTTCACCTCATTCTTACTTATTGTTCCTAAGTCCGATGAAAGATGGTATTGGTGTTAGTGGGGGAGAAAGAAGTTGGGGTTATAAATCTGAACGGGTGGAATGGAACCGAATCCACAAGAGGAATCTATTATTCTCCTTCCCCATCCTGCAGGGACTCCACACCATCCAACCCAAACTCCCGTGCCATTTTCCACAGCCCTTTTATGATAGCAAGACTAATGGTGGAAACCAATAGGGCCCATTGTGTGTGTTGCTGATCAATTTTTATGTTTCTATTCCACAGTTTTAACGATATTGTGAAGTCCAAAGCGGTCAGAATTGTGAATCTGTCCATTGAAACACTGCAAGCGGTGTACTTACGACAGTAGGCCTTGTAGATTTCATAACATATTTCTCGTTGTTGTTTTTGTAGTGCTCTTCACAAGTGACAATTTTTTTAAGTTTTTTTTTTTTTTTTTTTTTTGTAGTAAAGAAGGGTTGTATTTAGAGGCCAGTAGCTAGAGATCCAACCAGTAGATCTCCTGAAACACTATCTGGCCTTAAGGCCACCATCAAAGGAAGGCTGAGATAATTACTATTCATCCAGCTTCCAGAAATGTAATGTACCAGCAGGCAAAAAACAGTTCATCATGTAGTACAAAAATGAAAATAAACAAACTAAAAATGAAAAATGAAAAAAAAATCTAGTGCCATAGCTTTTCGTTGTTTCTCTATTTGGGCTTTGTTGTTGTTCATAACAGAATAGATATTATTTACCCATCTGAAACGTGCAGCCTCATGTGGTCGTTGAAGTGCTCAATTTGGTCAAACTTAGCTGGGCAGACAGAGCAAACATAGGTCGTTCCCTCCGTGCAGGCCATCACTCCAGCTGGAAGTGCCCTTGCCCCAGTGCTTGTTGTGTTAGATGTTCCATTTGTGGCACTATGTAGAGCCACGTGTCTTTCAAGCAGGGTCTTGTGTGAAAACTTTTTCTTGCAAATGTAGCATTCATAAGATTTCTCCCCACGGTGGAGCCGCATATGCACATTTAGGGAACTCTTCTGCGTAAAACGCTTATTACAGATACTGCATTGGTAGGCTCTGACACCAGTGTGAGTCACCATGTGTTTGATTAGGTAATCTTTTAGGGAGAAGGATCGCCAACAAATGCTGCATTGGTGGGGCTTCTCACCTACACAATGATCACAAATGGAAACACAAGGAGAAAGAAAAGTAACATTTAATTAGGAATGAATACTCCTGTAACATATTTTCTAGTTATGCAGTACATGATTATTTATTTATTAATCAAATTCATATGGCTGCCCATCTCTGTTCGGAAAGTAAATTGGGATGGCATAGAATAATCCAATAAAACAATAGAAATATAAAACAGTCATTATCTAAAGTTATTATGTATAATTGTTTTAGAAAGCATTAAAAACTATAAAAGAACCCAGAATCAATAATACTCATTAGGATGGATAAACAAGGGAAGGAAGTGAGTTGTGTGAATGCAGAGACAGCTACAGATAAGCAATCTATACTTGTGGTCTCTGTGCTTATGTTGAATAGCAAGCCTATCTGATGGTTGTGGGAAAATGCTCTAGTTGAAAACTGACAGCACCACTGCTCTGTCAAACTTGGCATCAACTCTGGTCTGGACACCAAGTAGGTAAAGTTTGTCAGAATATTCATGAACTGGAATAGGACATAGCAACAGGTCAGACATTGGGGAATGGCTGGAATAGGGCATGATAACAAGGTCAGCCAATGTATAGGCATGGCAACTGGGTCAGTCAATGGGAACTATTTGATGACTGAGAGCCATGCTAGACGGCTCGGAGCCTGGGTATGACTTACCTATGTACCTATGTGCAAGAGAACTAATCTAGTCTGCTCTCTGAATTCAAACTAAAAACCAATCTCTCCTTTCTACCACGTTGGAAGAATCATCTGTGGGTATTGTATATTTATTCATATGTTATTATGTACATAAATAAGTTAGTGAACCCTGCTGAATCAGTTATCTGTGTGTGCTTTCTGGATTTGATTTTTGCAACAAACTCTGACAAAGTTTAACAAAGTCCAAGAGCATGGACCAAATAGCAGGCTATCATGATCAGGTAGTCATATTCATTTATATAGCATTGTCCCCTCCTTTGTGACTGATCCTACATAGCATGGAACTGCCCAGAGTTGATTGCAATTGGGTGGTATTAAGTAAATAATTAAGTACCAATAATAAGTGCCAACCATGCACTGATTCATGTGCATCAATATGAATTGGGTTATTCATTGAAGAAGAAATATGCTAAAGTGAGGGAAAAACATTTTCTATCCATTAGAATTGTTTTGTATGCTTTTGCATCCTCAGATAGACTAGAGATGCAAAATATGGGTTTTCAATGTCTCATGTTCAGATTTGGAAGAATATTTTCCTTCAAGGTTTTATTTGTTGATCTTCATTTTGGAAGAAGTCTTCTTCCAATGCTGAATCCATACCTATCTGACAATTTTATATTGCCATTAGAAAGTCATGGAATTACTACTGTAGCCATGATATGCAATTTTCAGACCTCTACACTTGACCTGAATTAAAATCCTCAGTCATTTCTATTATCACCAATCCCACTCCCCATCTCTTATTTTTTCTTTCTTCATAAATTCAGGGTAATGACTCCATACATGATTCCTTCCTAGATTCTTTTGCTCAAGACAGATAAAACGAATAATGTTCTACTGTTGGAAAATATGCATTCTGTAGAAACTTTAGATCAGGTTACTTTAATCCCATTGAAAGAGCATGCTACATATCAATGAAATCTGACAGTTGTTGTATGGCCTGTGGAAGCCTGAAACAGAGAACAACTGAAGGCTAGAGCATTGTTGATTACAGCTGAAGATACAGCTCCACCGGAGTCCACTCACAGAAGCTCTCACCAAATGCTTATGGTTTACTTTCTCTTTTGCAGACTAAGTCTGTGCATCTTGATTACAATTGTAAGCAAACATGAGATTAATAGAGACTATTAGTCTGCAGCTACATAGCAAGAAAATACAGAGAAAAAGTTCCTATGATGCAATTGCTAGCGTTGTTGGAAATATAGCAAAGGGAAGGCAAATAATTGCTTTAGAACTCATGCAGTACAGATAATTTTCATGACAAAGTCGCCTCTGCTATATGCCAATAAAGCTTCAGCACAGAGCTTCTTATGTGGGATACAAATAGTCCACGATGAAGAATATAGCAACACAGGATACTGGCAGTAGTTGTTGAAGGGTTTAATATTCCATTTTTTCAGAATAAAATAAATGTCACTTTCATCAGTGTGAATGACACAGATCAGACTGACAGAAAAAAGGCAACAATGTGGTTTTCTACATATTTATCCTGCCTTGACACAAAGTTCTTTAACCCTGTATCTTGGTAAGTTTTCACAATGAAGTATCAGAGTTAAACAGCTGTCAGCTTGTGTCACACAATAAACACTTGACATTCATTGAATTGCTACTACTTCAAAATGAGAATAATGTCTGATAATGGTTAGAAACCAGTTAGTCAATTCCTGTCATAACCAATGGATCAAAACTCAGTTGACCTGAAAAACGTGGGCAACTGCAATTGCAGAAAACCATTAGGAAGGAAAAAGAAAATTAAAGAATATATGTCTAACATGAGACCCAGTTTGGTGTAGTGATTAAGGCATCAGGCTAGAAACCAGGAGGCTGTGAGTTCTAGTTCTGACTTAGGTACAAATTCAGCTGAGTGACCTTGGGCCACTCACTTTCTCTCAGTCCTAGGAAGGAGACAATGGAAAACTACTTCTAACAAGAAAACTGCAGGGACTTGTCCAGGCAGCCTCTGAGAACTAGAAACAATTAAACAGAAGAAAAAAATAATCTAAATTAACTTAATGTGTTTATAGCTGATTAATAGTTCTTGAAATTTTATTTTATTTTTTAGAGGCCAAAGGATAATATAATTTATGCTAGAAGAAGAAAAGAAAGAATTTCTTTTCTTCACATGAAAAAAGTTGAGACAGATTTCTGAGCTGGAGCTTTCATATCAGGAAGGGACACAGATAAATTGAGCCCTATAATAGTGTCAAGGGAAGAGGCATTGAGCTTTTATTGACAAATTTTACATAAAACTATGGATCTTCTAAGTAAAATATGCAATCTGTCATTACATTCAGCCTCTGTAGTTTGATGACATGAATACAGGTAGTCCTTGACTTATGACCCCAATGGAGCCCAGAATTTTCATTGGTAAGCAAGACAGTTGTTAAGTAAATTGTGTCTCATTTTACAACCCTTCTTTTGCCACAGCTGTTAAATGAATCACTGCAGTTAAGTGAATCATGATTGTTAAGTGAATCTAGATTCCCCCATTGATTTTATTTTTTATAACAGTGTAACTGTTATAATTACATGCTAGTTGTCAAGTGCCCAAATTTTTATTACATGGGGATGCTGCAGTGGTTGCAAGTGTGAAAACTAGTTGTTTCTTTTTTCAGTGCTGCTATAAGTTCGAATGGTCACTAAATGAATGACTGTAAGTCAAGGACTTTTAAGAAGGTTCACAAGGAAATCCAGGAAATTACGGACATGTCAATTTAACGTATGTTCCAGGTAAGATAAAATATCAAATACCGTATTTTGGGGAGTATAAGACGCACCAAGATTTTGAAGAGGCAAATTAAAAAAAAAAGTTTTTACACTTTGCAGACCTACGAAAAACAGCCCATTTTTCACAAAAATGCCCCCCCCTTTTAAAAAAGGGCATGAATAGCCTTTAGGAGGCTTTTAGAGTGCTCTGGGGGCTGAGGGGCAAATTGAGGGAAAAACGGCCCATTGTTTGCTCATTTCTGCCCTCCCCAGCCCCCAGGAGCACTCTATAAGCCTCCTAAAGGCTATGCACAGCCATTTTGGTGAAGGGGGCGGGGTTTCAGGAGGCAAAAATGCTGTATTCTGTGTACGAGACACACCCAGATTTTCAGCCTCTTTTATGAGGGAAAAAGGTGCGTCTTATAATCCAAAAATACAGTATTTGGAGACACAGTCCTTGCTTATGGATACCCAATATAATTTCACTAAGGGAAGGTCCTAATCTATTAAAGTTTTTTCATAGTGTGAATAGACATGTGGGTAAGAATAAGTCAATAGACCCAATTTACTTAGATTTTCAAAAAGTCCAAGATCAAAGACTTAATAGTAAGTTTTAAAGCCATGAAATGAAAGGAGCAGTCTTCTTGTGGATAAGAAAGTGGTTATAGAATAGGAAACAAAGAATAGGACTAAGTGAGAATTTCTTACAATAATGGAAGGATATAACCAGCAGAGTGCCCCGGGGTTCTGTTCTAGGACCAGTGCTTTTTATCATACTTATAAATGTTTTGGAATCAGACATAACTAGTTGAATAGCCAAATTGCTGATGACACTTAATTGTTCAAAGTAGTAAAAACTATGAAGTACTACAAAGAGCTTTAGTATGATCTCTGCCCATTAGGGAATTGGGCATCAAAATGACAAATATTCAAGATGAGCCAATAAAAATGATGCACATTGGCGCCAAAAATCCTAAATATTCATACAAGCTAATGGGACCTAAGAGAGCAGTGACTGATGAGGAAATAAATCTTGGGATAATGGTAAACAATTCAATGAGGGTGTCGATACAGAGCAGCCACTGTTAAAAAAAAAAAAAGACCAGCAGCACATTAGGGATAATAAGAAAAAGTATTCAAAATAGAGATACAAACTCCATAACAATTTGCTTTCACAAACTTGGGTTGTTTTAGTTTGAAATAGTAAAGTCAAAACATTAAATATCCTTAAATAATTGGTATCTTCTGTAAATCTGTCTAACTGAGAATAATGAGAAAGTATAAGCCGAAGTATAGTACTACATAGGAAACTTTTGTGTGAACAGATTCTATGTTTTAATTTTTTTGGCCTCTCAGGGCTTGTAAGGAGATGGTTTGTGATGCCATGATATACTAGAGAAAATAGTGAAGGTGCTAATTTTGCCCCACTAATTACTCTAACAGCCCCTTTGTAACAGCTTGGCCTCATTTTTGAGGACTGCATTTAAAATGAGGACATATTCAAAAACTAGACAGTTGGTAAAAGAATGAAATCACAAGTTCAAAGTGGAATGAAAAATTAGATGGGAATGTACAGATGAGAGAATATCAGTTCAAGGCTTAATAAAAATAACTTCTCTGTGACATGAAACTATGGTGTGGAACAGATTTCTGCAACCTTTCCAGTTTTGGGGACTGGGGGGGGAGGGTTCCACATGAGCAGCGGGCAAGCTAACATATACACAGCTTCATTTGAGTGAGCAGAGACTATGCATGCTCCCCCCCCCTTCTGCAGCCCAGCTCTGAATGGCTCAAGGCCCAGTAGTGGGCCACGGACTGGGGGTTAGGGACCCCAGGTGTGGAAAGTTAATGTAATTTTAAGTAACTTTGGAAATCACTTTCAAAATCCAGAACAATGCACTTCTCTATAGTCCCATAATCATATCCATGATTCAATTACAATATTTGATTCAATTCTGGTTCAAAACATTTCTTTAAAAAGAAAAAAAAGCAACCCTACTCAGATAACAAAAGGTAATGTGTAAATTTAGTCTTGTAAATGTATCAAGGGAGGATATATAGAAAGCCCAAAAGTATTTAAAAGCAAAGAAGATCAGCTATCACAGGATGGAATAAAAGTAAGCCACTTAAAACTATCAAATTATAGCAAACATTATAAAAAAAACCTTAATATTTTCAAAAGAACACTACATTCCTCCAATGGACAAGAACAACTTAAAAAGAGAGAGCCCATTTTTTAAACATTCCTTTTTATATCATATGAACATGTTAAAATAGCAGCAGAGGAATACCTCTCCAGATCAACAATATAATGTTAAATGCTTTATCTCTCTGGGTTCATAGCTTTGCTCATATATCAAGTGGCCATATACTTACCTGTATGTACAAACATGTGCTTGACATAATTCTGTTTGGCTGTGAAAGTCTTGTTGCAGAGGGTACACTCATAAGGCTTTTTTTCACCCTGCCCACCTGCTGTGCTGTGGCCTGAAGAAGGAGCCAGAGGTTGTGGGGCTGGCAGTTGGGCAGTAAAAGTTGAAATCCCAGGCTGGGACACTGTCACAAATTGTGCCTGTTGGCCTAGAGGCTGGGGAAGGCTGAAAAGGAAAGGTTTAGGACCACTGCCAGCAGACTGTGTAGTAAAGAGTGCAGGCAAATAGGTGTTGCCAGCTGTGCCGATGACCTGTGTGTTGCTGGTCAGGGTCAATGGCATCCTCAGGTTGCTGGTGAGGGTTTCTGTCTGGCGTAAGTAGAGCTGTGTACTTGGCAATGATTGGGAAACAGTTGTAGTGATAGGCTGTAAAGTCCCCTTTTCAGTACTGTTACAAACAGTTATTAGTGCGCTGTCCCTTTCAACATCGTTTCCTCTTTCTGGTGAAGAAGAGTTAGTATCTGTGTGCTGCTGCTGAATGCTTTCAGCAGAAACATCATTTTGTTCTGGTTGTGTAGGCTCTTGTTGAACTTCTCGACCTAGGCCAGTCATAAATTGCTGCTCTACAGAGTCAGGTTCAGTGCCAATGGAGGAACTGACTCCAGAATCAAAGCTTTCTCCCTTGGGCTCACTTTCAGCACCTTCTGCTTGATCAGTATCCTCAGTGCATTCTCCAGACTCATTATGCTCTAGGATTTGTACTCTCTGCTGTCCATAGTAGTCATAATCATCCTCCATCTCTTGCTTGATGTGAATATTGCCCACTAAAGTTTGGATCCGAACAGGACGTGGTTGCTTCCTGCAGTGTGTGGTTTCTGGAGTGGTGGAAAGATACCGCTCCACCTGCTGTGAACGCTCATGGATCCTTGTAATCCAGCTTGGATCTTCCATATGATGGTCTCTAGAAAGGCCTAGTGCCGTTTCATGATGGCTGACCACTGCTCCACTGTAGAATGAACGCTCACCACTGCCATTCTGCATAGAACATGCATACAAAGCTGAATAGATCCGGTCTACGCTGTGCTGTGAGTGACTTTGCAGATAACCAGACTCTGTATCACTGCTCTGTCCTGAAGTGGCTGATTCGGGAGTTCCTCGGGGTGTCTCTTGTGCAGAATCCTGAATCAAAGGGTAGATGTCACCCACATTCTGTGAGACAATCCGTGTGCATTCATCAATCACAGTTTTAATCTGCAGGATGCTGGCTGCTGTGAGGATTTGCAAGGCCTCTGATTGTGAGACCCGCAATACTCCACTGTACATGAAGTCAATGAGCTTTTGCACTGACTGGACTGACACCACAGAAGGAATTTCAATGTCACTGTAGCCCAGTAATAGCTTATCTTGGAAGAAGGGGCTGCCAGCCGCCAACACACAACGGTGGGCACGCAGCATGCTCCCGTGAATGCGGACTGTCACATCACAGAAGTGGCCACGGTTGCGTTGCTCGTTGAGGGTCTCGAGCACAGAATTGCTGAAGTTGTGGAGGTTGATGCTGTGAATGCGCTCTGTCATCCCCTTGCAACTGTTGTTACCTGCCATAGAAAAAGACATAAAGATAAATTGGTGTTTGAAATATGTATATGGATTTCTCTCCCTTCTCAACAAATGTAAATTTCATTGCTTTGAATCAGGATTTTGTGTCTTAGTTATTGAAAAAACACATTGCTTATTAAGCTTGGAGTCCTTTACCTCTCAAAATGTGTCAAGAATAATTTCATCCCAAATCTCTTTAAAAAAATGTATCCAATAATTTTTGTCATCCTTTCGCTCCTCTTAAATACAAGCATACAGAATGAAAAATGTGTAACTATATTGTCTAAATAACAAAAGTACCTGTTAGCAGTATTAAAAATTTTTTTAAAGCTGATTTAAATAATATTTTGTTCCTTTCCCATTTTGATACCATATCAATGTAATTAGTAATAAAGAAATTGTTTCAGTATCTTTAAATAAATAGTATTATAGCTCAACAATACTTTATTCTAGCTATTATTTAATAAATTGATTATAGGTTCCTACTGAAGATCAATTAAACCCGTTACACATTTTTCATTAGCTTTAATTAGAATTCAAGGCCACTTTATGCTTTAGGAAATGTATTACTGTTATAATACACAGATTGTACAACGCATGAGAGACACTTTGCAAAAAGTATTGGCATGAATGAGACATCTGTCTTTAAGTGTTAAAGCACAAGGCTGTTTCAAAAGCTTTCTCAAGCTGCCAGGCCATGTATGTGCATGCAAATGTCACTTACATAAGGACCACCAATGAAGTAAAGTGGTTTGCATGGACATCATGTTGAGACAGTCAAGGGTTTTTGAAGCTGTCATATACGGTCTTAATAAGGGTCTTTGTTTATGCTAATGTACTTTCATGGCATCTTTTAATATTTTGTCCAATCCAGGTTAATATGTGAGAAAGGTACATACAGATTGAGTAGTGAAACTCAGTTGTCAAAAGACTAAGCACTTTTGAAGAAAAAAATTACCACCTGAAATTTAATTTTTTTTAAAAACCCAGCTCATTGGACACAAAAAACATCAAGTATTTTTAGATTATTTGAAAAGTGTATTATTTCTGATCAAAATGTTCAAAATTATTAACTGTCAGTCAGCTCAGGACTGATAGTAAGAAAATGACCAATAGTCTTAAACATTATAATTACAATATACAGATTCTTATTATTCTAATTGTCATCACAGAATAGTATGCATATATATGTGGAGATTTCTGACTCATTCTGTTCCCAGACCTGCCACTCTCATTTTAGTTAATATAGTGGGAAATGCTTCTGTGGAACTGAAGCAGCCTTTGTCAAACAGTTCTCTTCTGCCCAGTGCATTTAGCAATCGTAAAGGACCTCACATGTGAAGCTACTGTTAGAAGGGTTGGGAAAGCAGGTTGATTTAGAAATGGCACACAAATGAAAGAGTGTAAAAATGCAAAGGCTATTCTTATCCAAGTAGGCAATGAATGGGCAAGGAGCCTGAGGGAAAAATTGAACTTAACACTGATTGTTCACATGTACCAGTCTTTTTGAACTGTAGCAAGACAAGAGATTTTATCCAGGGTTTAAGAGTCTATAAAATGTTTTTGTTATTCTTTACAACTTATTAATAGTCTGGAATCTGCATGTACTATACCACATTGAAGACAAATATCACAATATGCCAGATTCTTTATGCTAAAGAACTAGGAGGTACTGAATTCTGAATGATGGAAGAGTTAATTGTACAGTTTGAATGAGTGAGCATGGAATGTAACTCAGAGCTACAGAGAATCTAGTCATTATAATTCCCAAGCACAATTAAGGTTGTGGTTTCAGAAACTTGTTAAGACAGAATGCTCGATTTTGATAAACTGGAGCCTAGATAAAAAGCTCACTAGTACCACTTCAAAACACTGACATTCTATGTTAGAAAGATACTATACTTCTATTTCAAAAGGTTTTTTTTTAACCTGATGCTTTGCATATACTGTATTTGGGACTAAGATTCCCAGTAGAATTTGCCAGCTGCCTTACTGATTGGGGTATGGTGGACTTATATTGCTGCACATCTGGAAGGTTAGTTTTTATTTGATTATGCAAATATAAGGAATCACATATGGTCTGCTTTTGCATTATTAACTTCCAGGAGTTATTATACATCAAGCTTGAGAAATTCTTCATGGTGCCTATAGGAACTTTTATTTTTTACAGTGTCTACTTAGGGTCAGAATTAACTGAATATATGTTTTCTGAGAAGTCTACAAACAAACAGACTGAATGCAGGTAGAGATTAAAATTCAAGGCTATCCAAAGCAGTAAGAAAAGTAAAGTGACTACATTCCTCTTTCTTACTCTGCTCTCCAGCTGCATTGTTTATGATGGTGTGCCTGATCTTGAGATGGAGTGTTCCCTCCCTTGAAGGAGCCTTATGAGAACTGCATCTTCTGAACCTATAAGACTTCTTCACATCTTCAATTCATGCAGCCATGATATCCTGATTGCCTCTCCGCTCCTTTCAGTGAGTGGTTCCACTGAGAGAGGGGATTTGCTTGGTAGTCTCTCAGTTGCAGAATATGTCAGAACTCATCTTTCCCTCCTATCTTTTAGCATTTGTATTAATTTATTAGGACAACAATAGATTTGAAATATACTATCATCAATATGCTGAGGATAACCAAGTGTACATTATCAGCAATGAAGGATAGACAGCCTTGTTGGGAAGAAGCTGAAAGCAAACAAGATGGAGCTACTGCTTGCTCCTTAAGGTTGTTATCTTAGTAAAGAAGTAGTAGTTCTTGTTCAGGAGCAGATCTGCAGTTTGATAGTTCCTCTGGATTCATGACTATTGCTGATTGGCAAATAAAATTAATGGGCAGGAAACCTTTATCCAGTTTCATCTAGTATACCAGTTGTAGGCCTACACTGAGTAAGATCTCATCACAAGAGCTTATCATCACCAGCTCTTAGAATTACTGCAGTGGGGGACTGCATTTAAAGATCACCAAGTTGGTTCTAAATGCAGTAGTGGTTAACCAGAACTAGGTGCCAACTGTACATTATATCTGTACTGTGAATCTTCAAAACTGCCAGAAAGGTTTTCAAAATGCTGATTTAACTTGTTTCCTGTAATAAAATTGTCTGATATGAAAATCTCAAGAAAAAAAAAATTGCTTGCGATTCTCCACCTCCATGAAATCAATGGGATGATAAAAGGAAGAAGTATATCTCTGTCACAAGCTCCTGTACCAGAAAGTTTGATGTGATAATTGATGATCGTCTAGAAGAGTGGAATTCTTTCCACTTTAAATATGAAAAGATGCATCATACAATGTTTTTATATATTGCTTCAATTTATAATTGAATGTTTGATTTGTCTGACTTCACAATTGATTTTACTGTGGATGCTTTATTGTTGTGCCATGGATATTTTATGGGGTTTTAAAAATGTTTTTCTGAGAGTCTTATAATTACAGCAGTGTAGAAATCAAATAAATAAATAAATGTCAGTGCCTCTGGTTTACTGGAAACTACTGCATAATAAATATGTATAGAAATGCAGTCTTTGAAGATATATGTATATACACATTTACAACCTTTTGTGAATTGTAAATGATATTTCTCTGTCAGCAAAAAATCTGTGTTTTACCCATAAAGAAAATTGGCTGTTGAAGTCTACAGTTGCCTTCCCACATAGGTAGCCTACATGATTATAGCCACAGCAGCCTATTTAAGTACAGACACATCAATGCAGGGAAGCCAAATGTATGCAATATTAGAGGGTAAACCATTTTAGAATCTAATAAAAAGATAGGAGCAATGAGATTTTATAATTTCTTTGCTGCTATGCAACTGGAATTATGCAAAGTAAAAAAATGAGGTTATTATTAACTGGTCTAATCATGTATTTTATATTTGGGAATTTTTAAACTGTTGATTACTGAATAATTATTTTTAAGTTGGAATGTACAAGAAATTATAATCTTATGTACATCAACTAATTTAAACTTTCCATCAAGTGTAATACAGAATCCCTCCTATTCAGTGATGAAATTCATTTTTTTTTTCACTACTGGTTCTGTGGGCATGGCTTGGTAGGCGTAGCAGGTAAGGGTACTGCAAAATCTCCATTCCCTCTGCACTCTGGGGTCATTCAGAGGTGGTATTTGCCAGTTCTCTGTACTACTGAAAACCCTGTCAGAATCTGCTGAATTTCACCCCCGCTCCTATTTCAAAATATTCTCGTGAAATAATGAACAGAATGCAAAAAAACAAGAATTCTTGAACATATATAAAGTGTTTATTTCAAAAGTATTTTAATCAGGACCACTCAAGGTTGTAGTTCTTATTGGATCTGTATTTATATATAATCTATGATGATTTTCTAAAACCAAAAAAAAAATGTGAGCATTTTCTTATTTTGAAATTTTAAAAACAATATGCACACCAATTTCAATTGGTGTATGATGATTAATATATTTTACATAAATTGAAATTGTAAGTAGTTTTATTCTTATAAAGGGCTTTTGTATACACTTAAAAATTGCCACATGATGGCATCCTTTTTATTAAAAAAAAGCTTATGCTTATATTTCCTCTATGATTTCAGAAAATTGCTATTATGATTTACCTATTGGGGGCTCTCTTTTTCTGGGGTCCAATTTGCATGGCTATGCAACTTGAAGATGGAAATGGATTTCTACACCGTATTGAGTAAAAGGTATTAAAATGTTTTATATGTAGATGGAAATATTGATTGTGCCAATTATATAGTTTTAAGATATACATATCGATTAGGACAAAAAGAAAGTGGGCTAATGAGATGTTGCTAAGGATTATTTACCATTAATTGGAGAAAAAAAAATGAAAATAATGAAATAGTTTGTTGAGATCTTTTAGAGAACATTGTGTAGAAATAAGAACACATATGCATGAAATTAAAGAAAACTTCCAACTTTTTATCTTGTTCTTGGATAACAACAAAGTTGTTTAGCAGAAAGCTTAACTTAAGCCCTTTAGTACTGTACTAAAGTTTGGCATAAAGTTTTAGGAGAAAGAAGAAGAGGTCCCATCCTCTGAGCCACAAATAGCAGAATGTCAACTTCAGAAGATTTTTTAATAGAAGCCAAGGATTTTCGTGAACATATATTGTTTCATTTGAATTTTCAATGCTTTTCAAATTGAGAGATATTATATTACCTTACTGAGGTCTGTGAAGGTGAAACAAAGCATTACAAATCATATACGATTAGAATTTTTTAATATTCCCTACTTTTCTATATTGTTTAAAATATATATGTTGGAAATAGTGCTTTTGATTCTATGAATGATTAAAGATTTATGTTATTTACTGAAAACTATTTAAGTGAGCAAGAATATAGTAATTGAGTTTCTGAAGTAGCACAGATTTAAGCTCTAAGAAACAAATTTTAAATATTTTTGCTAGTGCAAACTAATGTAACACTTTCACAGCTTTAAAAAAAAAAGTACATATACTGTACTGTTCATAATAAAATATGTTCCAAATTAAATATTTTTCCTGAAGTGACTTTCTGATCATTTATAATGAGAGCTACTTTGCTGGTTCCAGAGAAGTGACTGAGTTAGATGATGTTTTTCATTAGAAGATTTTGAAATCTGTGAAATCCTTACCCTTTTTATATCAAAAACATTGAATCCAAAATAGTGTATTGCCAGATTGTTTACAGTTCTTGTAAGTGTAATATAGTTGCTCAGATTCAATATGCCTATGCACCAATAATATTCATTTCTTATTTCTCCCTGATGGTTCTAAACTTGTTAAAGGTTATTTTCTGTGACTAAAACCATTTGGTCTCCTTAGGTACAACTTCAATACAAAGCTGAAATTAGTTATTTCCTCTCCTTTCAATTAAATTCATAAAAAATATAAGACCCTATTTGGACCAATTTCAGCATACTTTATAGACTGATCCCTCTGATTTTTAAGAAAATATGATTGTAATATATTTACTACACCTAGTATTCAGATATATACTAGCAGTCCTCATAGAATTTATTTTGACATTCTATAATTACGTTTTAAACAATTGTATTCCTAATTTTCTTATGATTACTTTTAAACAGTACCCCAGATCTTGGAAGTTGGTCTTAATCTCTCTTTATTTTTGAAAATATTCATTTTTAAACCATTTCAGAGATGACAGAACACCGCTAATCGTAAGGGAAAGTGAGATTTTACATACATACAACTCATCTGGCAGAATGAATTACTATAGTTATACTATTACAAAAGATATCTAATAGTTCAAATAGCTGGCTAAAGTTTAAGATTTCTTGAAATTTAGTTTTAGTTCCCAGGGTTTTGAAATCAAGACGGGGGAAAGTAGCAATTAAATACAAGTGAAAGAATTTATGAATTCCACAGTTCACAATTGCAATCTATTTCTCATATCTAATAATGTGAATATGATTTATCTTCTGTTTAGTTCCTATCTAAATTTGTTCAAATCTTTTTTTTGTCCATTATATAATGGTAATAATTCCATACATCCTGAAGTAAGCACCATCAGTTTAGGAGATTCATGTCAAAATGACTTTACCTTCAGTACTGGAAAACAGCAACTAGACAGCAGCAACACAAATATGCATAGTAAATAAATAAATGAACAGGGCCTTCCCCAGTTGCTTCCATTAATTTTTGAAAATGCAATTCCATGTTAGTAATTGTGCAGACTGCAATGATCCAATTTTGTCCTCTTATATTACCACCGACACAATATTCTGCTACTTTCTGCTCCAAAGTGTAAAAATTTACTTCTTACAACCTTACTTTATCTACTAATTAGGTACATGTTTCAATGTTTTGAGAGGGTTTTGACACTGCAACAAATACCGTGTCTCACTCAACTATCCGCAATGACACTATTATACTTACAATCAGGTGACCCTGTGTATACGTGCAGGTTTCTTAGTGAATGGGATGAATGGATGAGATCTGGGCTCAGAGATGAGATAGCTTCAAAGTTCAGGCATGGAAGGCCTGACTTGGCAACGAAGGCACCCGTCTGCGTAATCTCATTCTCCTCAGACTTCGGTATTTCAGTTGTCTTGGGTTTCTTTCTAAAAGGAAACAAAGAGACCTTTGAAGGTAGCAGTTACCTGCAGTATGCAGGAACGAGAATAACTGTGCATTATTGTTTGTTTTCCTTTCAGAACATGTTTTATTGTTTGAGGTTTTTCTAATCTGTTTTCAATGCTGGTTGTTAGTGCTTACAGGAGCTGTGTCTGCAAGCAGTCTGCCAGGGGGAAGGTGGTTTGTTTGCCCCTAGAACCAGGGGTAGGATTCTACTGGTTCGGCCCATTTCAGGCAAACTGATAGCTCCGAAGATCGCCTGAGAGTGAACCAGTTCACTCCGATCTTAAAGTAGGCCCGCCTGCCCACCCCTGGGCTATACCCACCTACATTTCCTTGTTTTTTAGCCCAGCTGATAGGCGCAGCAGAGTGGATTGCCGTGCCTCAGAAATTTTTGTGTGAATTACGCATGTGCGTGCAGCGCACATCAGGTACATTAAGCACATGCGCACTCAGAGAACCAGTTGTTAAACTGGTGGGATCCCACCCCTGCCTACAACCACTGGGCATTAGAGAGGCATGTATAATGGCAAATTTGATTCTTACAATGCAATTAAATTTTTTGACCAATTCAGTTCATTGTGTTTGGGGGTTTTCATGGTAGAGGTAAATGAATAGAGTTGGTTAACCCATATATAACTAGATTTAAGATTCATCCTTGAATCGATAGACTTGATCAATTAACCCCTTTTCAATTACCCAGAACACTAATAATCTCTCCCACTGAATACTAGGGCCATATTCTAATGTTTGTTTTCTTATATAAGCTGGTCAGTTATGTAAAGTAAGGAAGAATTCTCTTGATATCTAACCTCTTTGGAAAAAGTATGGAATTCCGTTGGAGGGTAATAGTTTTGCTACCACCCATTCCTGTGAGACAAAACCAAAAGCAATTCCACAAACACAACAAATGAAGTGAGTTTAGGTCCCACTTGCTTAGTTAACAGCTGTCCTAGAGAGCTATAGTACCATATTCCTTCTCACATTCTCCTTTAGTCACACCCAGAAATTATTTCCACCCTACTCCTTACACTCAGATCTCAACAATAGAGCCTTGTAATTAAGGATGCCTCCAGTGTGGTCCCTGATGCCAACCACTGCCAAGCCTTATATAATCGCTGCGTATGGAACATTTATGATGTATGTCTGTGCTAGAAGATGAAGAGATTCTGCAGTCATCCACAAAAGACACTACAATTGTTCATGTATTTTCCAGAACTTTCAGAATATCTTCTTGAAGTTGCTCTTGGGCCCGGCCCAGTCCCTCATGCAAGCCCTCTTTGCATGATATCTTTCCTAACTTAGCATATTAACTACCCTTGCTTTCTATCTTTCCATGCCATGACAATAAGAGCTTTAATTTCCTCAGGGTAGCTGTAGCTACTGCTCTTCTTTAAACTGTCAAGATATATGTTTTTTTAGCCAGCTCACCTTTCCATGGCTTGTTCTGGGAAGTCTCAAAACACTCCTAGAAATAATTTCTTCTATATAAGAAGCATGGGATGAGGAGTTATCATAGCTGCTGTTTTGCAATGCCATATCCATTGTTTTTTTTAAAATGGAGATCAGTTTGTAGTACTTGGTGTGGTTATATCTGTAGCCATCACCATCAGTTCCCCTCCTATCGTCTTAGCTCATCTCTCTCTTTGTACCAGAGTGTCTGCTGCAATTAAACAGATCATTCCGTGACTGCTTCTGCAGCTTTTGAAGATATCATACCTACCAATTGTATAGGGCATTGCCAATGACTTTAACTGATATGTAGCATAGGGCATCATATGTAGGACATTAGCAAGTAAGAAAATGAGCATCTCTGTACCAGTTTCTAGATATCTGGTGGAATATTTGGACAATGCTTGGAATAGCTCTTGAAGTATAATGGCTTGCTTCTCTTAAATGATCGCTACTCTTGATTCTATACATTAGCAATTAGCAATCTGACACCCACACCCACAATTTGCCAGAAACTATCATAGCCTGCTGCATTTTAAAATGAAACATACACATACATGCTTATACTCCAAAACAAGATTAATATAATTTATAGAATAAAGGACACTATATGCTTCCCCTCCCTCCCACAGAAATATGTTTTTAAAATACTGGATAAACATATTTTGTAGCACACAAAAATACAGAAAAAAAAATCTATGCACTCAGAAAAAAGCATCATATTTCCAGACAGCGGCATAGAGAAAGGAAAGTATATTATGAGGCCCTCAAATTAGGAGTAGCTATCCAAAATTATCTGTCCATGTCAATGTGATATTCTGCATAAACCAAGTTATTCAGTGACTGAGGTCCATCACTAATGGGTACTGCATTAAATCATTATTTAATGCAGTTAAACCACTGTTTTCCATATCTCAACTCTCTTCTGCTGTAACCTAGTTTCATCCTAAACTAATTTATTGTCTATGCTGAAAAGTGAGTTACTGTACGAGACTCTTAAAACAATATAATTCTGAATGGGACCTGTGCCATTTCAAAGCCAATATTAAAATCATTTTATAGTTTTCAAGAAATCAGGGCAAACTTTCTGGAAAGTCATGTCTTGTTCAAGCTCTAAATATTCCAAGCTGGTATTTCAAGTTTAGGATGGTTTGCATGCTTCACAAAAATTATACTGTTTAGAATGGACAATGAAGCTAATGACCTTAATATGTTGACTTTATAAACACTAATATAATAGTGGACAGAGAATCTTAAAAAGTGGACAAAAGTTAAAATAGATCACTTGTGTACAGAGAAGTAAAAAAATAGTTTTGAGAAAAGAGAACTCTTTAGGGCTATTTAGCATACCTTTGAGTTGTACACATAAGCAAATACACATTATATGAAGTACTGCATTTAACATTAAAATAAGATGGAATTGTACAAACAAAATCTGGATTTTATTATAAAAAAAGAACATATTCAATAAAACAACAATTTTTTTTTTAATTTCCTACCTCTCTTCCGCCTCCCCCAAAGATTTTTCGTAGGAAAAAAAAAGATTTACAAAGCAATTCTGTACCCTCATGGAATCAGAAATGAAGAAATAGGCAGAAAAACACATTATAGCATAACAAAGGGCAAGCCACTTTGCTATTAATCAAGAACATTGTCTCCAGTTATATAAAAGAATTATATAAGCTTGGTATGGTATGAAAAAACACAGCACATGTTCTTGTGAAACCATGGTGGCTCACACTTATAAAACATAGCCTCTAGAGGGCAGCAGGCGACCAGCTGGTTTCAAATTACGTTAATTTCAGAACTTCAGATTTTTGCTCCTAGTTATTATGTTGGTTTACTAAAAAACCTTTAAAGAATCTTTGCCATTAAGTATTAAAATTACACAATTCAATGATATTTTTGCTCAGTTAGTAAATGAAAACTGAACTGAAACAAATTGACAAATATGAATCTCTTTTCCTCTTTCCTTTCTTTAAAAATCATGGTATGCAAGAATCTACAAGGTAAATAAATATGTTGATTGACCATACCTAAAAACAATTAACAAACCCACGATTACAGGATCACTAGGCAATATTGAAACCTGCCATAATCAAATTATTTTTGAATTCTAATTCATTACTTTTTTGAAGCTAAAATGTTTTCTTAAAGTGTTAAGAAAATGTTAAAGGTTATGTACCAAACAAAGTATATCAATTTCCCACCTTTTTATGTCACTGGCATCTTAAAGATTATGAAATGTATTCTCATAACAATTTGGTTATGGAATACAACCTACTTAAGAAGATGTATAAAACTGCAACTTTTCCCATAAAAGTTTACCATACAATTAAGGTAAAGGTGAAGTTTTTCCCTGTTCAGTCAGGTCAGTGGTCATCTTTTATTTCCTAACTGAGGGAGCAAAGATGCTTCTGTGGTCATGTGGCTGGCATGACAACAACCCAAGGAAAGCTGTTACCTTCCCACTGAAGTTGTACCTATTTAACTACTTGCATTTGTGTACTTTTGAACTGTTGGGTTGGCAGGAGCTGGGGCAAGAACAGGAGCTCACCCTATTGCAGGTGCTTAGGTCTTAAACTGCTAGCCTTTCGGTCCAGAAGCCCAGCATCTTAACCACTAGGTCACCGTGTCCCTACCACACAATAAAATATTACCAAACTATAAATTATTTCTTGCAACTAAAAGGAAATTTACCTTGTGAGCAACTTCTGTTCTCTTCTTAAAAAGCAGTCTTGCTAGTAAGCAATGAGGTGATGGTATGCAAAAAACCCAGATCTATGGGGACAGCAAGGGATTCATGCCAAAGTATCTGGCAAAATCTATAGCCCACCATAATTGAAAACTCACCACAGTCAAAGGCCCTATGGCCCTATATAAAGGCGGTCAAGAGCTCTTTCCCCAGTGTATTTATTCAATTTTATATTGGGTTCTTTAAGTTTGTTGCTGTTTGTTAAGTGACCCAGGCACTTTGGTTAGGTTGGATAGGTATATAAAATGCTAGCTAGCTAGTTATAAATAAATAGTTAATGCTTGAACTTTATAACAAGATTATTTTAGTGTTAGTTTCCAAATTACTTTCTACAGCTTACATATTAATAAGCATGTTCCTCAAATATTTGTAAAAATCAATGTTCTTATATTTATTAATTTTAATTAGACTAAAAGGATACACTCATGATTAAAGCAATCTTTTCTTTTCAGTTTTGAGTTGCTGTTGTAGCAAAATCCCATGAAAATTATAATTTTTCATTTAAAAAAATGGATGCATTACTTTTTCAGTCTTTCCTGACCCTGTCACTCTATAAAGTAGCATATACTTTTATGGATCAAGTATTAGAATAAAATCTGGGGTCTCGTAATCTAGAGATATGGTTGGCAGAATCTAGGAGGGTTGGCCTTTTCTGCTATTGCCCGTACACTGTGGAATCTTCTTTCTCTCGAGCTGAGCATGTTCTCATCACTTCTAAGCTGCCAAAGGTTATGCCTGGTGAAGCCAGGGAACTGGTAAGAGCCCAGGTGGCGCAGTGGTTAGAGTGCTGTACTGCAGCCACTTCAGCTGACTGTTATCTGCAGTTCGGCGGTTCAAATCTCACCGGCTCAGGGTTGACTCAGCCTTCCATCCTTCCGACGTGGGTAAAATGAGGACCCAGACTGTGGGGGCGATATGCTGACTCTGTAAACCGCTTAGAGAGGGCTGAAAGCCCTATGAAGCAGTATATAAGTCTAACTGCTATTGCTATTGGTAAACTGTTGAGGTGGCTCCATCATTATTAACATCAGGGGTGGGATTCAGACAGTTCGCACCGGTTCAGGCGAACAGGATGTTAATTTTGCATCCTGTTCACCGAACTGGTTGTTGCAAGTCACCACACAGTCCATTCATCATGCCAGGCAAGTGCAGGGCTCATGCGGAGGCTCTAGGAGGGTGAAAAAGGGGCTTCCTGGAAGTCTGGAAACAGGCCTGTTTCCAGCCTACAGAGCCTGGGGGACGCCATTTTCGCCCTCCCAGAGGCTTGAGGAAAACTTCTGGAGTCTGGGGAAGGTGAAAACCATGCCTCCTCCACCATGGTGCAGGAGGCCAAATAGGTCACTCCCACCCAGCAACCAGGCAGAGAACTGGTTGCTAACATTTTTCAATCCCACCCGATTAACATCCCTTCAGCTATTATATATAGCTATAGCTATTATTTTTTAGCTGTTTTTATAGGTTTAATACCCAACTCTACCCCAAATTAAGGGATTACAGTTTGTAAAAAGGGAGTTATTTGTTGTTATTGGTAATCATTTTAGCTATGTATTATTTTAATTTTGTTGTACGCTGCCCAGAATCGCTTGCTTGTGAGATGTAAATTAGATAATAAATAAAATATTTGAAAGGTAATTTTTTTATTTCAAGAATGTTATTTCTAACTTGATCAGCTATTAGTATATCCATTTCTTGGATATCTATATGTATTGCTTATAAAGCAAAGTATTATTTTAGATGTGGAACAGAATGTAATGGGCACAATCACACAATGTATACTCTAGATAATGTAATTATTTGTAAAGATTGGGTATAATCTGATTCTAAATCTCAATATAGCAGAAAATAATGAGTGAGTCAACTCATTGTTTTCCTTTTTTACTTACTTAGAATCGTGATAATTTCAAAACAGATCTTTACACACAAGTCAGATAGGCAAAGTATGTAAAGCATAGCTTTTAAAATGTTTTTATCAGTAGCATCCATAACTTTGTGGATATGTGACAATGGGAAACACAACAGACTGGGCAAATTCTGCTAACCATGGCTACCAAACATCCAAAAAATCTGCTAAGCTATTCCACTTTCTTTACATAGATGATCTAAAGCTGAATGTAAAAAAACATCATTTGAAATAGAAGCACTGCTCAACATTGTCATTTGTACAGCCTAGATATTGCAATGGAGTTTGGACTTGAAAAATTAGTCACTCTTCACCATCAATAGAAATAGAAAACTGAAGGAATCAAGATGCCCAATGGAAATAACTTCCAGAGTTTGAATGAAGATGATCACTATAAATACCTTCAAGCTGGCAACATCAAGCATACTGAAGACAATAATAATGTTAGAAATGAATATATCATGAAAGTGAAAAAGAAAACCCAAGCTCAGTGAGGAAATACTGCAAAGAGAATTAACTGCTAAGCCATTTTAGTCATTGGATACACAGCTGGAAGAATTGTCTGAACTCAAAACTCTACTTAAGAAAATATGTGAGTGTGGAGTGTTGCAAATTATGTCAGAAAGTTGAAGAAAATAAATAGGCAATGGAAGACTATCTGAAGGACAGCGAAGAAAATGCACTGAAGCTAATTTAACATAAAGGCTTATTGAGTACTGGAGAGATCAAACAGTTCTCTCCAAATATTTGCTATTTAAGTATAAACTGGAATTGTTCACTCCATTTTCTCTATCCCACATCTTAATGTCTTTCAGACATTAATTTTCAGATCTGCCATATTCCTTATTGTATCACACAATCTTAAGATCTAGTGCAAATATTTTGGGTTCTTAGCTAATAATAAAACATCATCCCTGCCTAGAGATAATGATGACTGTGAAAAATCTTTATTTTTATAACCATTGCAATATTTATATCAAATTACAGCTCCAAAATTCTGAAGAGTCATAGCCTTAACTTGCTTTAATGTGGTCCTAGCAACAATCCTGGAGAGAACTTTTTTTTAAAACAAAAAACCTTACATTTCTAGATTTTACCCTTGTGGACGTGGAATCAAGTCAACCTATGTACTCCATGTTTTATATTGGTATTCAGAATCATAATAAAGACTATCCAAGAAATACAGCATCATTTGCAATATCAACAAACACATCTCTAACATAACCACATTATCAACTCCTAGTTTCATGAATTCCCTGCAACAACCTAAATACATATTTTTCTCCACATAATTTTTTACTCATAATTACACCTATACTTTCATTTTCATGTATGTTCATCAGCTCTACTTTAAAAGACCAGACTACCTTCATTCAGATATCTAACATATATAAATCTATCTATATGTGTTTATTAAAAGTCAACATTGACTTGATGGTACAACATTAATTGTTTTCTATATTCTACCAATTATACAGTACATTAACTGCCTCTTTTTAATCTGGGTTGGTAAACAAGGAATGCTGGAGAAAATACATACCTATTTTGTCAGTCAAATTTACAATTATCTTAGCTAATTGTTGGATGAATAATTTAGTGCATAAAATTGCTTGCTATTGTTGATCTGGAACTCTAAAATTTAGAGTTATTTTCAAGTTGAATTATTTTATCGATTATTGTCTGCCCTAGTTATTGAAATGCTAAAATATGTGCATTAACATATTCATAGAAAGACATGGGTTCCATTCATGATGTTTTGGAATACTAACACATTAAGATTTGTATGTTTTATTTTACAGATTTAGGTTATATATGTTGCTTTATTGACTCCAATGATACTATTAGTAAAGTCCTTACACAGAGGGAAAAGGTTCTCAGACAACCCAATTTTTATTTTCTGAGAATTAGACAATGTTATGTGAATGATCATTTGTTTTTCCTAATCATACAAATGTTTATTAAATTGATGGCCTTTACATTACACCAATTGATCATTAAGCCTGCCTTGTACATAATTTAATATTGGCTTTTCAGCTGACCTGAAATGCCAAAACCCAACTTTACTGAACAGCAGAAATCTCATAAAATGCAACTGAAACAACTATGGCAACTTTGTTTCTATGTTCTTTGGTAATGCTGTGAAAATAAAAGATCAGGCACCACCGACAGATTTTTATGTGATTTCCAATAAACGTTCAATTCGTTGTCATTTTCTTCTAAAACTTTCTTATTCATTTCAGACATTACTCTTGATCACCACTAAAGTATCAGTAATATTTTATATGAAACCCAAAATTATGATTGGATCAAATGACCCAACTTTTGATACATATGCTGACTTCTAGATTTTTACAAGGTTCTGAGACTTTCTTTTTGTAATATTATGTTGAGTTTACAAAATTAACTTACAGTGGTTTCTGAATATCACTCTTCAGGTAAATCACTCCAAGCTTTGGACTTAGTGCAGACATTCATTGAGGCAGGGAAAGGGGAAAAGTTGTGCCTGCACTGAAAAGAAACAAGATGAAATATGAGAGAATTGTTCATAAATTATCTGGAGAAAAGATGAACAGTTATCAAAGGATTTCAAATCATTTTGATAGCAAAGTGCCAAAGAAATAATATCTTCCAAAATCAGTCTTCCACACTAAGTAACATGAGCTGATCAATAATGCACTAATGGTATATTTGGCTATGACAGAACACTAAATTAAGGGATCATAATGGGAAAAAAGCAAATTCAAACCTGGATATTAACTTAATAATGTTTTTCAATAATAATTGCAAACACAAAAAAGAAATTTCCTAATACAAGTATAATTTTATATATTGTCACTTAGAATTCTTCTCATTGCTCCCTCTTAAATAAACAAAATAATAAGTTGAGACATTTTCACTGTGATCAAATGCTAGATAATAAAATTTTAAAAAATAATTTAAATATTTTTATTAAAAAATAGATAATGCAAAGAACTGTAAGTGTATGAAGAAGTAACAGAATTTATCAATTAAATATTATTTTATATCTGTGAACTGGACCAGGTCTCTTTAGATCTATTGTCATTCCTGTTATGAAAACAATTATTCATTCTGTATTTTATCCATTCAGTGAAGAAATTTTAGATTGAATATAAGGAACTTTGTATTCATTTTTTAAAATGTATTTGAATGTTCTTTCAATATCATTTCCAGGTATTGGTAATTCCTGTTAAGAACCAAGGAGGCCAAGAAGACTCCAGTAGGAGAATGCCATTTGGCTTAACAATATCATTTTTTTTTGTACTTAGGGATGCTGTCATTTGTACAATAGAACTATAGTGGCTATAGATAGGTGTATTTTCTATGAATACCATTAATTGGTTTCAACTGTCTTTAACATGGCAGTGCCTAATCACTTACAGCATTAATAAATAATAATGCACAATACTGTCAGAAAAAAAACCCAATAGTTCAGGACTCCAAGTGACACTAAAATACATACACCAACTAAAAATGTAAATAGAAGGCATTTTGTGAGAAATCCATTGTTTTTTTCTTCTTCTTTCCCTTCTGGCAGCAAAAGCTAACCTGCCATCAGCTCTTGGAGGAGAACAGGACATAGGTCTACCAAATTAGACAAACTAAAGAACTCATCTTCTTGCACATAAGGAAGGACAGTTGATGAAATTCTACCTATTTTGTTAAGAAGGATTAAAAAGCATTTGTTTTATTCCAGGAAGGAATTTAAAAACAAACACAACACATGTTCACATATGTGTTTATTTCAGTGTTAGTTTTTTCCCCCCACTTAAGGAAGGCCCTTCATTTTCTTATATAACATTGAGGCCCTCGAAGAGGCAGTTTCAATTGTTTATTTTGGCTTACACATGGGGTGGGCTTGCAAAGGAATAAAGCCAGCAAAAACATTTTTTGGACTCTTATAAAGGCTGATTAATGGCCTTTCTGCATAACTCCTCATACAAATACTTTGATACTTCTATTTCCCCTTTCCATAAATTGGATGGTGACCCTTCTTTGCTTATTGGCCTCCTTTTCTGAGCTGCTCATTAATCAGACCCACTTGTATGATATGGTCTGTCATATCATATTACCTACCATGCACATAAGCATAAGGTGCATTAGCCCTGAGACCACAGTATATATTGCATGCTGGAAGGTGTCTAAATTTATTTTGTTTCACTGTCCTGCACAAATAAACTGTAATCAATCTGCACTTAGTTAATTCCCATTGCAGTATTATTACAGTTTACTGATAATATTTATTCTATCTTCATTGTGACTTTTTTCACCTCTGAAATCATTCCTCATCGGGTCTAACTGACTGAGGAAAGTGGGGAGGGGGGGATCAAAATGCTTGCCCTCATTGATGATAAACTAGTGTCATCCTGAGTTTTTGGAATCATGATTCATAGTTTGATAATATGTTGAACCATAATGTAGGTAACTCCTATGAAAAAGATAATTCCATGGTGAAGATCATTAAAAAAGGCACTAAAAATTGCCAAAATAACAATTCTTTAAACAAATTTACGATGCCACATTTGAAATGCTTCTTGTCCACTTATACTGCTTTACAGAGACACATTCACAAAGAATAAAATTAAATTACTATTAGATGTAACATTATCCCTAACAAGAAGAGCAACATGCCGCCCAATTTTAACTCCCAGATTCTAGATGTTATTTTCAAAATTAGTTGAAAGAGCATATATATATTTAGTAATAATTTATCAGTACAGTAAAAATAAAACAGGTCAAGAATAACAAAGTTAGGTTCATAAGATATTCTATGCCATCTCCAAATTAGTTGCGTGAAAAATTAGTTCCTTTTACCTAAAATTTGGGGAAAATGTTCTTCTATATTTTGTGAACTATGCCATAAGTTAATAGATTATGTTTCCAATCAGAAAAAGTAAAAGAAAGACCAGTATTTCTATCATACTATTTATTCATACAAACATCTAGCTTCTGTCTCTTTATTATTTGTTAATTATTATATTTATTATGTCTCTATTAACTGCAAGTGAACCATTCAAATAGGATATTATGCTACTATGGTTTGAAAAAAGTGGAGACGTTTCCTAGCAGCATCTACCAAAAGTCTATAAAAATACTTTCTTACTGTCTTTCAACATTCTGTTTTATCGAAATCTAGAAACACAATATTAAACTTAAATATCATCTTCTCATCTTTTGTCACAGATATGTGTGCGCATCCCATGTGTTTGTGTGTGTGTGTGTGTGTGTGTGTGTGTGTGTTTGTACATACATAGGTTTGATTTCTACAGATCAGGCAAGAACCCAAGATATTTATTCAAAAAGCTCCAAGAAAATTATTGCTTCTCTATGTATAAAATTGATTTTGAAGTACTATGTTATCTGGCTGAGAAACCTGTAGAACTTTTTATTATGTATTTTAACTTTCAATAGCCTTGACAGAAACAGCATCTTTAATAGTGTTAATCTTGGCCAGCACTTGAGAATTCAAATCAATTATAATCTCAATTTATATGTATCCTCTAAATTCTGAACAGAGCCAACGACCTTTTAGTTCTTTTAATGTTCTTTAAGTTCTATTGCAACCTCAACATAAAACTACTTTTAATATAAATTGAAAACTGTAGTCGATTGAGACTCTAGCCCACAAAATTCTCTTCTGTGAATTCTGGGAACTAGTGAAGAAATATTGTAATATTAGCAACCTAAGAATTCTCATAATTCAACACTCCAGGATAGAAAGAATGTACCATTTTTAAAAGTACTATTCACGCTCTGAGCAGTTTCAGGATGTTCATTGGTACAATTCTCTGCAGAGTTAGATGCTGTCAGATCAAATTCTGGTGAATACATGGATCTTACCAACTTATCTTTTTAGTAAACTGTAGTTCGTTAAAGAGAAGTTCTGTAATATTTTTGATACCACCGGTCCACCTTATCTTTTTTCTCTTCCGCTTTCCTTAAACAGACAACACACATACACACCATGGAATGTGAAAATATATAATCACATGCCTGAAGGAAAGGACTTTCTGCTTTCTGATCATCATCTCAAAGGAGCAGTCCGTCCTTTCTCTGTTGTTGTTGCCCAGGACTGATTGATTGGATCTTGTAGTTCATGGTATTTCTAATAACCATCTCCAGATTCAAAGTTCAAAGGAGTTTTATTTTCTCATTCTCTGTGTCCAGCTTTCAAAAATTTACATTACCACTGGGAAAGCTACTGTGTTAACTATTCTGATTTTTGTTGCCATAGAAATATCCTTACCCTTCATAATCTTATCTACGATTTTCATTTTCTTCCTCCCTAGGATTAATCTCCTTCTTAATTCTTCAGCACAGTTTATATCTTTATCTATTCTTATTTCCAAGAAAATAATACTATGGTCTATTTTCACTACTTTGTTGTCAACTGTAAGATCACAACATACTAATTATCATTTTTTTTCTATGTACCTAATATTTAATGTTAACTCAGAGGTTTTTTTCACTTTCTATCTTTGTTTTATTACCTTTCTTATTCTGAATAACCATGTTTCTCAATTCTTCATTACAAAGGTTCTACAGGGAAATAATTAAGCATTCTGACACACTATTTAGTCCTAATGCATTTTATATACTGGCATGATCTAAAAGATCAAAACATTGCTGCTAAATAATAAATAAAATACATAAATGATAAAGGAACATCCTCCTTATATTCTCTTGCTCTGTCCATTATCTATCTTATGCTAGTTATTTGATTTCATGTCCTTCGGTCTTTTGGGAATTTTTTCTGTTAATCTTTTGCATGCTATTTGTAAGATCCATAAACAAAACTTTCCCTCTATGAGGTATTAGTCCAATAATTTGGTAAACTGCCATTTTTTAACCTCTCTTATTTGATATGGAATCATAGAATCTTAGAGATCTTCTAGTCTACTTCCCCGTTCAGGCAGGAATTACTGTCCAATCTTTGCCTGAAAATCTCAAGTGATAGTGTACCTAAACGTCTGGAATAGGGGTTTTTCCACTGCTTAATACATGTCACAGAATGAAAATTCTTGCTTATTTGTTGGGTGAAATATGCTGACTCTGTAAACCGCTTAGAGAGGACTTTAAAGAACTATAAAGCGGTATATGTCTAAATACTATTGCTATTATTTGCAAGTTTGAATATTTCTCTATAAAGCTTTTGTCCATTAGTTTTTGCTTTACCCTTGGCTCCTATTGAGAATAAACTCATACTCTCTGTCTGAATTCCTTCAAGTATTATTGGAAGACACCTACAGTATCATGTGGGCTAAGGGTAAATATAGTTCATTCCTTTAACTGATCCTTGTACAATTTAGCCCCTAAATTTCTTATCACCCTTGTTGCTCTTCTCTGACTCTTTCCATTTCTTTAGTTACCTTTTTGTATTTTGCCAACCAAACTGACAAAGGTGTAGTTTAGCCAATTCAGCATACCACAATATTATCAATGTTTATGATACTATAACTATACTGATGCAGGTGAACATTGCACTCTTG